TCTTTTTTTGTCTCACGCCATCCCAGGAAAATAATTGTTTTGAAAACATCGTTTTTGCTTGTTCTAAGTACACATCAAATCTTTCTCTAAAATCTTCCACATATTTTTCTAAAGATTCGTACAGTGTAACAACTGTGGCTAAGTCTATATCTATAGACTGAATACAGCCCGCATAGCCCGCAACTGCAAACAGGCGACAGCTCTTCGATGTGATTGAGTCACTCGCCGAAAATTAAAAGCTATAGATAACACAGACACACAACTGTGATGTATTTAGTTATTATTGAATCGTTGATAGATAAAATTATTACTGGTATTAATATTTTTAATATAATAATAATTATTTTAAAAATTTAATACGAAATTCGTAACGGAGAACGTACAATATTATAATATGATATATTTTCTAAAAATCTGCCGCCCCTCAAATCACCTTAAAATTGCCGCCCCGGGGCAATTGCCCCCCCTTGCCCCCCGTTAAATGCGGCTCTGGGTATACCGTATACACACATCGACTTTTGCATATTATTATGCAGTTTTGTTCTTGGAGGGATGTTCGTCGTAAGACAGTATGTACAACTCCACTATGTTACCAACCTGATAATATTAAACCCGAGGGTGATTGTAAACTCGGTAAAATAATGTCAGCGGTTAGGTACCTTATAAAAAATCAATTTTAAACTCTTTCCAATCGATCCCGATTTTTCTACCAACATAAATATTTTTATTTATTTATTTTAATATTTAAATGTCAGCTGGGCCTGATTTTTTTTAAATGCGGGGTATCTATATGTTTATAAATGTATGATGATTATAGGTTTGAATTTAAAACCTATTAAAACTGAAACATAAATAAATGATAACATATTATTGAATATGGATGGATATTGTGTGGAATTCGTGTCTTCAGTCTTGTGGTGTTTTATTATCAACCGCCGAAACTGTGTGATAGTATCAACTTTGTTATCAGTTGTTTGATTTATCAATCTTAAAATCCTATACATATTATGAAGTATAAACTATGGTTAGAAATGTTAGAATCATCTGAGCACGAAAATATTATTCCCCAAGACTATGTTATTTCAAAAAGTGATACAAATTCTAACATATGAGGTTACGCAGAAGCCATTTTGAAACTTTGAACATAGAATATTAGTAAGGCAATGTGCAGTAACAAAATGTAAAGCTTTTAGAAATACAATTCCTATAAGAAATAATAGAGTAAATTCATTGACTATGTTTTTTCTCTTAGTTTATGGCTTTGCTGCATTTTTACTTATTATTTTATCCAAATTCTATAGACTATCTTTGGAATTAAAATTGTTCAAGGGGTTTAATGTGGTTTTACTACATTTTACCTCGGTAAAGAAAAGTAGGAATTATTGTTCGGTTAATAAGAATATTAATATATTATATAAACTCAATTTTCAGAATTTTGGAGTTACTGCAGCACTTCTTGGTAGCAGAGCAGCCAATTATATATAGGATTTTCCTCGCTTGTTATGTATTTCTTGTAGTTTATCAACAACGGAATAAATTTTATTCGAATAAGTTGAATTTATAGTTCGTATAAAGTTGAACGTCGAAAGACTTGGAAAAAATAATTTGGACCGATATTACAATTGTTGACGTTTTAATATTTGAATTATCTGTCACATAGTGCTAGTTCAAATTTACAAACGACATTTTTGTATATTACATGCATTATGATGGGCCAAGCTTACAACAAAAATGTGGGCAGAATTAATATTTACAAACTTTTAAATTTTCCAAGCCAGACTAGGTAAGCACTTATACAAATCCATACAATTATAATTACGTTTATTTAGTATTATATATATAGACTTCATCACGTCTCGTCATCATTGTCTCGTTATTAAAAATTATAATATTTAATTTATTTATTAAAGTTTTAATGCACAGATGTAACTACATTATGTATTTATATATACTTTACTTTAAATGTTATCATCATTAATTTTCATAATTACCTATTTTTTGCACGATCTATAGACCGATTATTTGATTTTATGTTGGATTATGTCGTGTGAACTGTGAAATGTTTGGGTTTTTAAAATATAATTTTGTAATTCCTGAAAAATAAGTTATTGCATATTTTACAATATATCTATATGTACGAAGGTTGAAGAGTAATATCTGTGTCTAATGTCTATAAACCAGGTCGGCTGAGGCCTTTGAAAAGACTTTTAAACTTTATTGTGAACTGCGAATCATCATCTTGAAATGCATAAACAGCAGGTTTTAAGATCTAAAAACAGCAAAAATATTGCAACAACTATTATTTATAGCATAAAATACTATTATTTTGGCGCATAAATTAGGTAACATCGATAATAATTAATAAATAGGTAGGTAGTTTATTTGTAATCATTATAATATAATTGTGATATTTTAATATTATTATCAAATACTATTTTTAAAAATATTATGATATAATTCTTTATATGTCAAGCATAATTATTTCTAATGATAGTAAAACCTATTATATATAGTATACGTACTAATGCCGAATTTACTATATACATAATTTATTTCTGATTTATGTTAAGCTTCAAATGCAATTATTGTTGTCCACACGAACACACAGGAATTCATAGTGTAATTTTAAATTCTAGGCAATAATTTTTGTATTTTAAGAACACTTAAAATATAGTTAACACTGATACACCTGAAAAATTCATTTATTTTGAACTAAAATTATGAATAATTTTAAGATTAATATGCGTAGTTTAGTATATTTATCTACACAATAATGTAGTATCATAATGACGCAATTATTATAATGATTTGAAAATATTGTTTTGCTTCGGTTAGTTAGGGGCGTATGTGAGACTAAACATCATAAATTCATATAATTCTTTTACTATCATAAAATTAAATTTGATTCTGGTACTAGAGCATAGGTATCATTCAAAAATAACTGTATGATATTGCCCGATGTTGGTATGGGTAAAACTTACTATATAAACAGGATAAAAAATAAAAAATATTACTTTACTACCATTTCCAGGTGTATTTATTGATATTATTGATTATTGTATATTATGATAATTTATCACATGTATATTAAGTCAATAAAACAAATATTTTGTACGGATTTAATCTATTCTGTGATGTAGACATACCACATATTATACGTAACTATATAGTTTATACTTTATACTACTTATAATATAATATATTAATATATAATATAGTATATTATAATTCCATTATATTATACATATATACATAAGAAATACATACAACCTATGCATAGTTAAATCCATACATATTTTAAATTCGTAATTTTTTTTATGCGTTTTTTAAAATAATGAATAATATAATAGCTATTTATACCTATGTTTGTATACCTAATAACACATTGACGAACACCATATATTGGGTAATTTGAATATTTTCGTTTCTTATACACATAATATAGTTGATATTATTGCTATATTATGTAATAAACCAGTCTCTATGTATAATACATACCTACTTAAATGTTTCTCTATTTTTTTTTCTGTTGGACGCGTTTATGTTGATTGGTATTTGGTGTATTACACTATTATTGGTGTATTACAGCAGCTGTACATAATGTAGCTAATGCCTAATATAATATGATAATAAATATATGTATATATATTATATTATAGCAACAGTGCACTTTTTGTTATCTGTACTAGTGTGCGATGACGTCAAATTGTGAACTTTCAATTGACTTTAAAATAAACGATCAGAAATTAATTTTATAATTACAGAAAATTAGATATGGTTTTTTTGTTGCTTACGTTATTTCGAAAATTAGGCGGACTGGCGTGAAACGAAAATCGATGTAATTATATTATATTCTGAACTCGAGCGTCTGGCATATGCTAAGTAAGCAAACTCCTTGGAAAACCGCTGCAATCTGCCTGCTATACACTCCTGTAATAAATACTCCATCCAGCGAAAGAACGCATCGTGGGCCGACCAACATCAGTTTTTCTACGCATCCCCAAGCGAAACCCCACCATGTGAAAACTGGTTTCGATAGCACGGTGACGCGGTGGAGGGGGGTCTCAGAATCGGGGGGTGTTCTCTTTGGACAAAGTGTATAGATACTATAGAATGTGTGTCGTATGCCGTCACCAAGACGGTCCATCGAGATCATCTTTCGACCAAATGTTTTATTAATTGCTTATCTTAAATTCCTTAAGTTTATCTTACGTTTAGAAATATATACCTGCACAATATAAGATTGCAGCTATTATATCTATTAGTACAGCATCTTAGAGAGCCAGAGCTGGCTGGTCGTAGCTCATCCACAAATATAGAAGTACTCATAAGTCATAATAATTATAGGTACAGCTAATACCTTACATATACATTATGATTAGGTAATTCTCCTTACATAATTACTTCGAAATTTAACATAAAGATTTATTGCAATTTATCGTACACGCTTTTGAGTTTATTTGCATTTATATTTTACAGTACCTAATTTATATTTTTATCAATTATACATACATATATGATTTACTATTGCAAAAGAATGCTTAAAAATGAAAATTGGAACTATTTGACCTGAACACAAACGGGATCCGATTTGGCTCAACTTAATAAAATACCTTTTTCAAACGGGAACCAATTCAGATTCTCTTGTAATTATACAAAAGTACTCGTTTCCGCCAAATATGTGTTCTAAATAAACAAAAATAAAATTATATTTTTATATTAGTTTTAATTAGCTTTTTATTTTTAATTTGTTGAACCTTTTTAACGATTTTTTTTTTAAATATAGGTAACATTAATAATTATATATAACGAACATTTTTATGATAGATACCTATTATAAACTGCAGATATGTAATATATAATTGGTACTCATATCCGACAAACTCACTAGTCACTTATATACTTTGTTACCTGTATCGAGTTATATATTATCTCTATTGATTCCTGCTATATAAAATACAAATTATTTTACTAAAATTTATAATATTCATATTAAATACCATTTCCATTTGTCCTGCATGTACACGTTTTCAAAAAAACAATCCTTTGTGATGAAGCTGGCCAACAAAGGCCCATCATCCTTATTTGATTAAATTATTTCGAAGTCATTTTCTTACTACTTTTAATTGTTGTAACTTTTAAAAAAAATGTTAATTTACTGAATCTTTTGTCTGTTTCAGCTTTAACATATTTTGGATTGGGCCTTCATATATAATATAATATTTAATATACTAGGAACCTATATAAATTATAAATAAATATATTTTTAAGTGTATATCAATATTTTAAAATATTTTGAAATTTAAATGGACTTACTGTATTCCAGCTTTAAATAGTAAAAACTTAAAAGATTGTTCTGGACGTTCTGGTGGAAACGTGTTGTCGCTATCTCCTCGTCTGGTAGAAAAGGGAAAGACACGCTTTTGATGGAAAAGGCTGGTATCGGTTGGCAAAAAAAGAAAATGTACACTTTCAATCGCATTCGCCCGTGGTCGTCGCGTCCGATGCTGGTGACCGGTCCGGCAGTCCCATTGAAAAATCTCGCCGGAAAATTTCACGACGAGACGTACGATGCCGAACCGGCCGACAGATGGCGTCGCATCTTGTTTACCGCCGTTGCGCCGCCCCGTTATCAAGAACTGGATGCACTCGTCGGCGGCGGCAACGATCGAGGCCACCGGTCTATTAATAGTAATCATATCACTCTCAGGAAGTGCGCGTGTGTGCGGCGAATGTGCGTGCGCGTGTGTATAAGTGTATATGTGTGTGTGTATAACAACAACTTGTTGCTCGCCGCCGCCGCCGTTGCCGTCGTCGCTGTTGCTGCTGCCGCTGTTGCTGCCGCCGCCGCAACCGCAAGTCGCAACCGCAATGATTAGTAGTAGTCTCCGATCTGTGCACGTTACGCGCGCTCGTCGCACACGCGTTAACACGTCGTATAATTTATAACATAATAATAATAATAGTAATAATAATAATATCCCAAACGGACAACAGCCGTAAATTATTATCACTACCAATAGTTGTATTCCCGTCGTATTATTAATTTATTTTTCCTCCGAGCCGAGTCACATTCATTATTTTTCAAAAATTTGACAAACGCATTCATACATGCTTGCTTTATTAATTTTTTTTAAACATTAATATACTCTTACTTAATCCATCGTCACGATATTATAACGAGGCGTTAATAAAATATAATATTATCAACATCAGCTGCTGCAGCTCGCGGTGATCGGTCGGTGTTTCGGCACGCTCGTTTCCCGCCGCCGACGGCCATTTTCTAGGTTATGTTTAATGATAACCAGTTGTCCGAACAGTGATAATATTTTATAAAATACACGATCAGGACGGGCCTGTGGAACGACCGTCGTTGACGGGTACAAATCAAATACGTTATCGTTTGGCAGACCAGTAAGTAAAAGCCATTGGCGGGTCGACGACTACCGTCGTTTTCGAGTTTTATTCTGTATTGTTTACTTTTTATCGTTATTAGGTATAGGTCTTACCTAATATTTGAGGCCAACGTTTTATTTTCTTCTTGTATTCTATTGTGTCGCCTGTCCGACTTCGACCCTCACGTCAGGTTAAGACGTTTCGAAATTTTGTTTTTTGCGTCCGCCGTTTTCACTGATAATTTATACGTTTTAAAATTTTACCGCGTTTACGTGTGTGTGCATATTATTTTCTAATATCATGACGTGTGTGTAGAGTTTACATCTCACGGCTTTCGTGACGAGACGGATCAAAGAAAATAATCGTTTTGTGTTTACAGGTATTCGAGCCGTGCATGAATTCAGAATTATTATCGGTCCTCCAATGATGTCAACCCGGACGCTGATCCTGACGGGTAAGCATTAAACATTTTAATAATAACAATAAATATACAAAATTGAAAATATTATTACATATTAATATAATATATATACCGTTGCTATACGCAGGTACTCCAAATATGTAGGTATATAGATATATAGGTAATACCCTGCACCATGTACATAGGTAATTATAATACAATTATGAAACTGGTTTGCGTCTGTCGTGTATTCGAGTGGTCCGCCGCTCGCGTTTAAATTATATTTTTTTGAAATGGTTATGCGTATCGGCTGGACCCCGCGCGAGAGTTTTTGCATGCGTCACGTTTCCCGAATGACATCTATATATACTGCAACGATTTCATTTGTAAAATAATAATAAATTATCAATAATAATATTGTATTAATTGTGTCTTTTAACGGCTATTATTAAAGATAAATAAATAAATTGCGTCGCACCGCCGGTGGTGTCCCTTCTATTATTATGCTGTCTCCGAGTGCTCTGCGACTACACACTCACGGCTCGTTGACCGATGACCCGTCCATTAGTATAATAATAATAAATTAATAAAATAACAATAATGTTATTTGGTTTTCGTGCAATTATTACGCGTCGGCGGTCTTTTCGATTTTCTGGCCGACGACCAGAACGATTGTCGTCAATTATTATTAATTAATATTATTTTTATTACGTCGTGTCAATAAAACAATAACACGATAGATGCGCCTCTCGTCGTCGTTGCGGTCGCGTCCGTCTGTGATGAGTGATTGTGAGAAAAAAATATAAGCGTATGCCGATGATATATTAAAAATGTGCACGAACACGACGGATAAATGACGAACCTGTAGTGCTTAAAAAATGATTTCGTGGAATATCTGTATGCGGGGCTTTAGGTATAATATTATTTTTGCAATATGGGTTAACGTTTCGACGGCAACATCCATATATAATCATACAACCATATAATAAGACGTATATAGTATTATATGACACGGGCATACTTTGGCGACTCCGCGAAACGTATAGGTAGGTCGCAGGTAGGTATATCGCGGTATCGTCGGTAGCTCGTCTATATTATGTTGCACGTTACGATTATGCGACGGTCAGTGTGTGTATGAGCGCACCATGTCCGTCCGACAACAAGCACACGCGAGCGAACCGAGAAACCTACTCAAAAAAACAAAAACCGAATCTATTCCCCGATCACGCCACACCACGACTACAACTATAATACACACGACTACACACCACACCACGCACAATCTTGACCGTGACATTTTCGGCGGAGGCCACCCAAACAGCATTGAGAGCTCGAGGCGCCGCCCGCATAGGTTTTGAACATTACAAAATACAATATTTACTATTATATTTTATTATAATTTATAATATCTTATGGTTATGGTATTATTATTATTATTATTATTTTTATTATTATTATTTTTATTATTATTATTATTATTATTATATTATTATCATCACGTTATAATATTATAGTACGTTATCGAAGATGTTGTTCGACGATGACGGCATTTCGGTTTTTTTTCACACATTGCGCTCCGCCGAAATTACGTAATTTCGATACAAAAGTCCACCTTCTCTCCCCGCTGCCGCTGCCGCTCGTGCGCATGCATTTTGTATGTGTGCGCGTTTTTCTTCCCGCCCCGGTCGTTTGGTAATTACACAGTAATTCGGGCACGTTTCCGAAGGTCAACGTGTGACACTCGGGCCAGCGGTGTTTTTACACACTAATACCCACATATACGTGTCAAACGTACAATGTACATCAATATTATATTTTATTATTATTATTATTATTATTATTATTATTATTACTACTAATACTACTACTACTACTACTACTACTACTAATATACTATAATATTACTACCACTATACACGACGTTGTTTTATTGTTTTCCGAGACGACGAGGTCGAATGGTTCGCAAAGTGGTCCGACTTCGTCTGTATATAGTATTTTATAATAACGCTCGTGGTGCGTTGGTGTTACCCCCGGGGCGATATACACGCGGTCCTACGATAATAATTCTAATAATATTATTTGGGCATATCTATCACGTCTATATTACACATTACTATTTGGTATGAAATCGATTTGTTCGACAACGAGACGGGTTGGGCGTACCGAGCCATATGAGTATATGACCGTGCGTGTTCGATGTAGTATTATAATATTAAGGATTTGACGATTTAAAACTCAAATGACATATTTTGAATAACGTCTCATATTATTATTATGTATCTTCTTGCGGATACTTCCTGTTCCTGAAGTATGGATGTGACGCCCTTTGAGTCTTGGCGCGCGCGCCTGTTGCATTTAACGTCAATTTGGACAGATCGAAAAACACAATCGTAGGTACCATATTAATCCACGTGCCGAATACACACATACTGTATATAGGCTACCTGCTTATACTGACAGTCTTGTAGCTCGACTTATCGCTATCAAACAATGCGTCATAATGCAATACTGTAGGTATATTATTGTTTCCCGAGGAGCTTTATAAGTTTACAACGAACAAATATTATTCATTATGCGTCTAGCATGTTTGCCCGATTACGAAAAGACAACACACGCCTGTCCGCTACGAGGAAACACAAAGCTTATTAGGTATAGTATTTTCGAAATTTTTTTACGACGCGTTATAAAAAAAAACGACGGTCGTTCAGATAACCCAAGAAGACGCTTCGCCGCTTTCTGGTGGTCGTCTTACTTCTTTTTTTATTTTGGAAGAATCGTTTTCGATAACGGACGAAAAAAAATCAATTATTATACATCGATGGGTCAGCTAAAGGGCATCTCGCGGGTTTTGGTACAGAGTTCGAATCTGAAAAATCCCTCCACAATTACCAAGCTATTTTTAATTGATTTGATAATGCTTTACGCGTCAGAATTTTCGAATACACGTTCTAGGTATTGCTCTGTTATTAGGTATACCATTATTATTATTAGTTTATTTTAATTATTCATAAACTCTAACCATAATAATGCGACTACCTACCTTTCGAAATAATAATTACCTATTGAAAACGAAAATTGTTATGAGCCGCATAATTATCATCATGCAAAACGAAATATTATATATGTTTGTATACGAAACGTGACAATTGTATTACATCCCGTCGTTTTGTTTGGCTCAGCTCTGAGATTAATATATTAAAACATACTATATTTTAACAGTATTATGTTATCAATATACCTATAGTTAGCATAAACACTAATTATAGGATGTATACCAATATACTAACCTACATTGCAGGATATTTTTGGTATCGATCTATTAATTTAAATTCCTAACCATTCTAATAAATGGTTTAAAATAATAATTCCGAGTGGATGAGTTATCTAACCTAAAACTGTTTCAAAATTGTAATAAATAGAATACATTTTCTGAAATGCGTTATCAAGGAGGTATAATATGTATACATTATGTCTTATTCGTTATCCGAAATAATATTAATGATTTCAACTCATTATTTCTGGCGGCACGTACTCGTGTAGGTGCCTACATATATTGTGTATTTGACATTTGTGTGTGTAATAACTCTAATGTGTTTATATATACATAGTAATTACCCCCTTGCCTAGCAATTGTATTTAACAATATTTATGACGTACCACTTTTGGCAATAATAAAGCAGTCGTTTGTGTTATTGATGAAATGATGAACATGAAGCATTATTTAGCTTAAGTATTATTTTTAATCTAAATCCTTGCACGTATGCATTATGTACATGTAGGTATTTAATCAGCTGTTATGTAAGGTGAAATTATTTTTGAGATTATCAATAATTTAGTGTATTACCTATAAAAGAGTAGGTGAATGCAATAAATAAATAATAATAATAATAATAGTATACATTTAATAATAACATAAAAACCATTATATTATCTGTTCGTGCCTAAACATCATCTGCCTGCTGCTA